ACTTAAAAAAATGAAATGTTTCAACTGGAGCCTGTGTGCCTGAATGTCTATTTGAGCTTTAAACTGTGTAAGTATGCATGGGTGCTAGAGCTGGCTGAGCATAAATAAGTGGAGGTGGGTATAACACAGACTGTAGGGGGAGGCTAGAAGGACTGCTGACACATCTGTCATCTGTAATCTCCCTCTGGAAGGTCTTGATTGGCAGGAACACCACTTCGCCTCACCTATTGCTGTTTTAGGAAGAAGTGGAGCAACCAAGTGGAAATAAAAAAGAGTCGGGAAGAAAATGGCAGCTTTAACCTTTGCTGTGAACCTCTCCCAACTCCAATCTCACATGACATGGCTAGTTGGAAGAGGGAAAGCCAGACAGCTTCCATGTCAGCCAGACCTATAGCCCTTAGATTAGGTCAGGGCTGTTCAACTTAGGTTAGAGGTCACAGTTAGAAAAATAGGCTTATTTGCAATGTAAGCCATCTTGCTGTAGTGGTCTAAGCCTGGTAAAGTCTTTATTGGGCAAAACAGTTTGAGTCGAAAACTGTTCAATAGCAAAATAGCTGAATTTAAACAACTATTAAAATCAAAATAAAAAATCATTCTTTATTTACAGAGTTTACAGATATGTTCCAATGAATACCCAACCTAATGCAGTGGTATAGGAGAACAATAAGTGGACAAGTTATGTGAGCGCTCTCTCCTACAGAGCAAGCAATGAATATAAATGATAAATACAACTTCTTTGCAAGACTAAATCATTTATTGACAAAAATATTCATCTTTCATTTAACTTTTTCCAACAAATCTGTTTAGCTAAGCTATTAAAATTAGCTAAAGAACTCAGAAAAAGGCAATAATTAATCAAGTCAACTACACCTAAAAAAATAAAATAATAATACAGAAACCAATTTGTAAGTTTAAAGGGGTAAAGATTAAACTCTAAAAGTTCCATAATTTACCCTTAAAGTGTTTAAATGATATTATAAAATGCAAAGATTTATTTCCATCATATTTACATCCTGCTTTGTATTAGCAGGAAAGAATAGCGACTTTGTACATGCGTGATTCATTTATCATACTGATATGGAGTGGGTCTTCTCTCTGCCTTGATTGGCTTACGCTATGAGGTTACTACAAGGCTGGCCATTACTTAGAGCTTGAGAATAACGTAAAGTTGAGTCGCCAAGTTACTCCAGCAGGGCTGGAGGTTTCTTTCTGGAGGTGTAAGCGGCCATCTGCTGAGGGCGACTGGGGTTCAAGGAGAAAGAAGCAGAGATACAAAAAGGCAGCCCCATACAGGAGACACAGCCAGGTAGACAAGCTCCGAGCCAGCTTGGGATGAAGAGAGCACATCCAGCCAGTCACAGTCAAAGAAACAGGACTACAGTGAAAAACAGGCTGATCTCGAACATCTATAAACAAAGGTGTTGATGGCAGCATCACTGCCAATATTTCTCTCCAGGATGGAGTCACAGCCAAACAGGAACAGACGACTCAAAGCTAGTATGAGAAAAAGCACAGACAGACAGACAGACAGACAGACAGACAGACAGACAGACAGACAGACAGACAGACAGACAGACAGACAGACAGACAGACAGACAGA